CCACTTTGAAAAAATCGAATTGATTGAATGAGAGTACTTAAACTTTCCATATTTTGATTTTGAGTTGAATATTTAGAAGAATTTATGGATATATCTTCTAATAGTGAAGCTATTGCTTTAAACAATAATTCATTTAAAAACCATGTTTGAAATGTTGATGTTAAAACTTGATTCGTGGTTTTTATATGTTGTATCATTTTGCAAAAGAATTCAACAATTTCTTGAAATAAATATTCATCTTTATCAATTAAAATAATATCACTAGACCATTTATTTAATATATTAGTTAAATAATTTCGTATTAAATGAAAAAATTCATTATTAACAATTGATGGATCAATTAATGTTAAACTATAAATATTTTTTAATGTATCAATTATCGAATGATTATTATTATTTAATTCAACAACAATTAAACTAAATAAAGATTGAAGTTTTTTAAATATAGTTCTTACTAAATAAATAGAAAAAATATTTAGAGGTCGGCCATAAAAATCTGTATCTTCAGATTAATATAGAGGAATATAAGAATAAATACTCAAGACACGTGATAAGTTACTAATGACGATTTTATTTACTCATTGTCTTTGTGTTATGATGGTACCTGAATGATTCTTGAAGGTGTGGGTATGGATAGTATATTCACCTGACACCCACACCCAGTTTTAGTAACTTCTATTATTTTGTAGTTTTAAATTTGTAATTATCTCGCATGTTTATGATTTAGACGAAGAATTTTCAGCACAACTTTTTCAATAATATCGTGAATAATATGATAAAATTTTCAAATTCTCTTTGGACACGGATTATATTAAGATATTTTTGATAAGCTAACTGTCGTTTATAGGCTTCTTGTCATGTTTTACGTTTAGGCTGAACCGATCTTTTACGAACCATACCTTTTTTTTTTTTATAAATTATCGTCAAATAAATTTATTATTAGTATAAACAGATTGAACGCGCATATCAACAAAGCACTGTTTGTGAATTTCTTTGAAATGAAAATTTTGATTTAGTATTCTTTTATTACTTAATAATAAACATGATGAAGAACATGTTCAATAAAGTAAAATAAATTACAAAATCAAGAAAAAAATTTGAGATAAACCAGGGTGCGTGTGTGTATTCTTCTCATGCATTACCCACACATAACCTCATGATGATTTTATTTTGCTCAGTTTAAAACTGTTTTTTAAGCGTTTGCTTGGTTAAAAAAACTTTAAATATGAATAAAAATGAGTTCGAAGTTAGTCTATGACAATATTTTAGCTTCACCATATACAAGTTTTACTCTATTTTTAAAATCATCATCTAGTTCGATATGTTGATTCGGTTGGAAATGAATTAATATTTCCTGCAATTGTTGATATTGACACTTTTCTCGTCTTTCAACCGAATGTAAATCATATATACTAGCCACTAACAGATCATAGTCAATAACAAGACGATATAGATTCGGCAACAATCGAAATAAACGTTTAACATTAAGATGATCTTGATTATTCACTATAATCAAAGTATGAACAGAAGCCAATTTTGTATCTGTTTTACAAGAATAATTATTATTATCATCATTTTCCATGAGATGAAAACTAGAGCCAATTTCTAATATTTGAAGATTGATAAAGATAAACTGCAACATTGTAAAAAATCGAATAGTATACATAGGTTGTTGTTTATCATTTAGAAATATTCGTTTGATTCGTGGCATTTTCATGTCTTCATGTCGATTATTTAATCGATAATTTAAAAATTCATTTGTTAATGAACAGTTAAAATTGTGACAGTTATTTGGTGGTGAAACGATTGTATAGGTTTGATAAAATTCATTTGTAAAAAACATTACAGACTGATCTTGTAACCAGGAGGATGTTTGAAATGATGACAACAAATCATCTACATTAACAGACGGATCAGCAAGTGAATGACAGAAAAAATAAAAATAAAATTGTTTCAATGATCGTTTCAATGGTTCTAACATTCGTCCATCAATGATATAATCAATTTTCAAACGCAATTTTAATATTTCTAATGTCGATTGACATTGTCGAAGAAGAAGATTCAAGTCATTGAAATCAATATCATTGGCAGATATAATAAGTTGTCGTAATTTTAATTGCAGGGTTTTTGTCTTCGAATAATTGTAATCGTATTTACCTGCTTTACCTGAAACAATAAAAAACTTGATAGCAAACTTTTATATTATGTGAATAGATCTGTTTAGATCGATACAAAGTAAAATGGTATAATCCTCTAAATAGCAAACTATTATTCTCAAATCAGATGTCTTGCAATCAACCAATACGGCAAGTAAACTTCTTCGCTTTATTTCTCTCAACGTCTGTGCATGATTTCATACGAGGATATAGATGTCAAAGTATTTGATCTAAAGTTGATTAGAAATGAACGATTTTTCAATTTACCTTCTCTGATGCCGATACTCAAGTATTCTAATTCGGGTAGATATTCTAATAAAATAAATAAATGATGTTGATATTCAACAGATAATGTTAAACGTTTCAATGTGCGACATATTTGAAAAATTCCACTATCAATTGACAAACATATACCATCAATGGTCAAGCTACTAAGCACTGTCGAGGAATCATCGATGATAAATTCTGTTAGAATTTCGTGATCAATTTTAGAAAATAATGTAGCATTTTGGTATTCCAATACTAATGAAGATAAGCTTTTTTTAAATATAGGTAAATATTGTTTGTAATGCTCGTTCTGTAAGAGAATCCTTAATTTTATTGTTTGTAGTTGCGTGAAATATGTCGGGACATCAATAGGAGAGTCAAAGATCGAATCAAGTTGTGTATCGTTCAATTTTAATCTTTTAATTAATGATGGAATTAATTGATAATTCTGTGTATTCCATCGTTGTTCATTATGAGTCGTCGACAAATTTAACCGTTCGATATACGGAAGACACAAAGTATAAAATCTTATATTTAGATTTAAGAAACTGTAAATAATATCATCAGAATCAAGATAAGATAAAATATAGTGTAATAATTCATTCGGTAACTGTTCTAAACTAAACATCTGTACACTTGATTTTGAATCTAAAAGCAAAATATATAATGATTAGTGCATAATATGGTCATTGATGTTCAATAAAGAATGTTACACTCATTGCCGAAACTAATATTAGAAAAATAAAGATTATCAGTACAAACATTAGAATTTTTATACGAGAGTTGTTCAGCATTCTTTGATTTTGACGATGTGACTCTCAGCGAAGAGCATACATATCTAATCTAAAGAGAATCGGATCAATTATTGCACTTCTTTATCCGAAATGTATAAAAGAATATAATGATGTGTCGAGAATATAAGAAAACTAGCATGAGAATATGCACTGTATAACTTACACATATGTATACAGTCGAATGATGGCGAACAAATATTATTCATCATGGAAGCAACACGAGTTCTCCTTTCTGTCGTATTATGTGTAGCTGAATAGATATTTTCTTCCTTCAGACGTGACTCACTGCCAATATTTAGAGTCATACTATAGTATCCATGCTACACAATCGTCATATTACGAATAAAAATAAGATAAGGAAAGCGCTTGTTCTTTCCAGAAAATAATGTATCTCTCTTATTTATTGTTGAATAACAAAATTTTTGCTATTAATAAATTATATAACCAGAAAAGGGGTGGGTGTGGTACAGATATAATACACACACTCACACTCAACTAAATACGAAAGGATTCTTTTCGATAAAAATCTAGTTTCTATTTTATGGATTTTAATTTTCATCAAATAGCTAAGAAAAAAATCAATTCTATAGGAGCAAATAGGACTGGATCATTCGTCTTAACTTAATATAAAATAAACTATGCACATTTAGCATTTACAATTAAATATTAAATGGAAACACTTAATTAAGTCATGTTAAATTAAATGTTCTAGCACTATGAACAAACAAAACACACTGAAATGTTGTTTGCTTGTAGTTATTTAAGCCTAACGAGGGAAGCCCACTAAGTGCTCCCTCGCTTTTGAGGTCGGACTTAGTGCATAACATAGACACTAGTGAGGTATGAAAAACCCCAAAAGGATAACGGCTATTAAGTCTTTTCTCCATAGTTATAGGTATTTTACTGAAATTTTAGCCTATGGCATGGGGCTTACAAACAAATTGCATGACGATATTTCGGACTGAGATTTCGTCCATAGACAGGTCTAGTTGTGAGTAGAATCCCCTGAAAATTTCAACTGAAAAGAACGTTTCCTTCTCTAAATATGAAAATCCCAAAAATTACTCATATATCCTACGAAAGGATTTAGTGGTCAAACGTCGACGACAAAATATCGACAAGTAAAAATGTCGACAACAAAATGTCGACAAGTAATGTCGATAACAAAATGTCGACAGGTAATGTCGACGTATAAAAAATGTCGACAGTTCTATCTTGATATAGAAAAATCGACTCAGTAGTCAAAAGTCGACAACCATCTTGAGGGTGTGGGTGTGGGTGTGAATGTGAACTATTCTTCTCATTCATTCCTCATATCCACACCCACACCCACACCCACACCCCTCACCCACACCCACACTCACCCACACCCACCCTCAAGATGGTTTTTTCATCACTAGCTTTTTTTCTTTGAATTTCATGATGTCGACGTTTTTACATTGTCGACATTTGACTTTCGACATTTTTTTATCGACATTTTATTTTCGACATTTTTTTTCCTACATTCTTGTGTCGACATTTTGTCGTCGACGTTTGACCACTTCCCCTACGAAAGATGTTAAAACTTTCTATTTTTTGGGACTTTCATATGTAGAGAAGGAAACGTTCTTTTCAGTTGAAATTTTCAGGGGATTCTACTCACAACTAGACCTGTCTATGGACGAAATCTCAGTCCGAAATATCGTCATGCAATTTGTTTGTAAGCCCCATGCCATAGGCTAAAATTTCAGTAAAATACCTATAACTATGGAGAAAAGACTTAATAGCCGTTATCCTTTTGGGGTTTTTCATACCTCACTAGTGTCTATGTTATGCACTAAGTCCGATCTCAAAAGCGAGGGAACACTTAGTATGCTTCCCTCGTGAGTTCATTTTGTTTTTAAATTTTGTAATAAACAATCACATCCTTTCATGCTCATTCTCAAACTTCATTTAATCTAGTTGATGTATTGATTACATATAAGAAGAGATGTTCTGATCAGATGATTAATAAGCAAACATACTAGTTTTTAGTAAAAAAATATTCTTCAATTTGAAAATATATTATCTATTACTTGTATCAGTGAATCTTTATGGTGTCATATGTATTCAAACAAAAATTTCCATGTGTTTATATGTGTGATTGTATATATTACAATGGTTGAACGTTGAAAATACAACATTTAGATTTACATTTTTGGTTGTTTCTAACTTAAATGGTCCTTATATACAATTTTACTTCACTCGATGCCTAAATTCGCCTATTCTAATTGTTTATATGAGCGTACATTTTTATTAATTGAACGGCAATAATATTATTCTCACAAAAACATACTAAAATACAAAGTCCCTTATACAGCCGACAATAATATTTACATAAGAATTTATAAATCTAGAAGTTTTATTGAACAGATGAGAAAAACAACAAATATAATAGTTCAAAAATAGATAAACACTATTATTAATGCAATTTTTAACGATGAAATGTAAATGTGCTTATAGAAAATAATGAAAAGAGTGACATACAACTTCTTTTTGTGAAGTTTGCTATAAACGACTGTAACTTCCTAATTAAAATCGTAAAACAAAAGGAATCAGTTTGAAGTCAATATTTTCTGATTTTCTATTATTCACACCACTACGACACAAAATGATAAGTTTTATTCGTAGAGTGGGAGGTATATGAGAAATGGTTTGCTTCATATTGCATTAAATATGTTGTTGATCTTCCAGCTGATACTAGTATTTGCCTCGAATAATATATTCACAAAACATCATATAAAAACATATAGGTTATTTCTCTTAGACATGTGTCAGAGAAGAAACATATGGTAGAATAGCAATTTTGTAAATGAAATTCTAACGCTATTGAAAACATAAAGATATGGAACAACATCAAATATACTATATTATTAATATCATTGTATAGTAATGCAATGCTAAAAATAGACCTCGTTTATTTTACTTTAAAAGAAAACAAAGAACGAGGTTAGAAGAAAAAAAAATGTTGCATCCGTCATTTGCTACAATGCGATTCATAGACAAGCAAGAACAGAAAAAAATATTATGTTTCTATTCTGTAAAGAAAAAATATATTATGAAGGCCACATGCCTGATTCTACGTATGTAGAAGAAAAATAACGAAATACAGTTTTTTTCTCTTGCTTTCAGGTGACCTAATGTACGAAATAAAAACAATGGATATATATATAAATATTTTATCTACCTTTAATCTTTCAACGAAAAACAACTAAATGAGTGGAGAAGATAGTGAGATTGAATCTATACATGCTGATATTAATAAAAATAATTTACAAGTAAATATAATTTGTTTGTTTTTCTCGAATTTCTCTTTTGTATAAATAGATCGAACAAATAGATATTAATAGAAGTTTATCATCGTTGGCAACAACCGGCATCTCATTGGATAATATATTACGAAAATGTGGTGATTTTGGTCGATTTCAGATTTTACATTATATTTTTATGAATTGGATATCTATGAGTTTTGGAATTATATCTTTCTATTATGTTTTTGGTGCTGCGGAACCTGATCATCGATGTCGTTTACCAAATAATATCTGGCCAGACGATACACAATATAATCCAATAAATCATACACATGAATTATACATTAATAACTACATTCCTAAAACTAAAGATGGAAAAACATGGGAAAAATGTATAGTTTACAAAATAGAAAATCAAACTAATACACTTATAAATTGTCCAAATGGTTGGATATACGATCGATCAATTTTTGGGTATACATTTACTGAAGAAGCTAATTTTATTTGTCAAAATAAATCACATAAAAGTTGGTTAGCAACAGCTTTACAATTTAGTGGATTTTCATTACTTATCATTGGTTCATTAGCAGATAAATATGGTCGAAAGAAAATGACAGTTATAGTTACTATTGTTCTATTTCTTACATGTCTTATAACTCAAATTATAATGCAATGGATACCAATGACAGTAAATACAAAGTAATTTCATTTCTACAAAAAAAAAACGTTTTATTTAATAAAATAATTTTTTTTTATCTATTTAGATTTATTATTTTATTACTTAATCAATTTGCATCAGGTTTAATTACTGCTAATTATAGTTTAGTATTTATTTTAATGCTTGAACTAACATCATCAGCACATACAAGTTTTGCTGGTAATCTTTCATTTATTTCATATACAATTGGAGAAGTAATTATTACTCTATTTGCATATTTGACACGTCATTGGCAACTATTAAAATGGGCTAATCTTATTTTTATTGCTTTAGGAATACCTTATCTATATTTTATGCCTGAATCACCATTATATATGTATGCAAAACGACGATATAATGAACTTGAACATATCTTACGACGAATAGCTAATCAAAATGGACGGCAAGAAACGGATTGGTATTCATATTATCAAGATTTTTTACAAAATCAACCAAAAAAATCATCACGTGGAAATACTGTAACTTCTTTTCAACAGTCTGTTAATTTACTTACTAATCGAAAAACAATGATTAAATTATCAATTACAAGTCTAATAGGTTTTACAACAACATTAATTTATTTTCAAATAAGTTATGGTCTTGCTGCATTAGATATTTCACCATATTTAGGAATTTTACTTGGTGCTGTCGTTGAGGCAGCCGGTTATATAACAAGTTCTGTACTTATTTCTACTCGACTTGGTCGTAAAGGTTCATTTATTATTATGATGAGTCTAACTATTCTTTGTATTCTTCTTATTCCAATTATTACAAAATATAATTCAATTGCAACTATTTTCATCGCTCAATTTGGAAAATATTCAATATCGGGAACAACTGCAATAACATGGATATTTGTACCGGAATT